ACATTACATACGTATATGCATGCATACATACATACATACACACATACATGGCTGGTTGTCAAAATGGTGGCTCCCAGTTTTGTAGCGTAAATCGCCATTCCATGGGGGCCCGTATCATTCGGGCCATATGAACACGTAACCATTGCGGCACAATACGTTTGACTAAGAAACGCGCAAATCACTGACAGGCGCACTAGCGCGGGCCTTTTCTTAAAGCTGCTGCTATAGGATATTTAAACACACAATAAATCCCAACGTTCTACACCACATCTTCAGCAAGTAGCAAAACGGAAATGCGTATATAGCTTTACTTGGCCTGACTACCAACTACCGCCAAGAAACATGCAAGTGGTTTCTTGGGTATTGCCTCCAACCAGGCACGTGCCCACGTGTTCAAGTTGGCAACTGCCTGCTAGCGCGGCGCTAGCGCGGCGCTAGCGCGGAGCTAGCGCGAAACACTGCCCATGTTTTCTTATTTTTCGCAGGGTCACGTGTCGCAAGGTCCGATACAGATTTCGTGACAGGCGCAACGCTTTCTGCTGGCAGGAGCGTCACTTTCGCAAAAAAGACACGTGCACATCTCTTGGCGGACGCAGCACTTTCGCGTTGCGAGCAAGGAATGCCTCAAGCGCTGAGAGCCACCGGACAGAAGGGCCATGCGTGCGCATCTCACGTGCCACGTCAACTAACGTCCCCGACCTAGCGCCGAGCTAGCGCGAAGCTAGCGCTGCCAGTGGGATTTGTATGATTTAGGTGGGGGCCCGCTTCATGTCGAAAAGGAAAAAACAAGATGCAACAGGAATTATGAACATACTGTATATAGCTGCTTAGCCGGCCTTTTTGAACGGAAGCCACATACATACGAGAGAGGGAGATTGGGGAGAGAGTGGCTTGGGGGGATGGGGAGGATGGGGAGCGGAGGGAGGGAGAGAGGACGACAGAACACACCAGGGAGACAAGGGAGAGAGGAAGAAGGAGAAAAGGGAGAGGACAATGTCGGCGGACTGAGCCGGAGGCTCTAAAGTTAGGGTCACTTGCGACCAAGGCGCGTTTGAGTCACTTACGACCCTAACATTAGGGTCACTTGCGGCCAATTGGGTCACTTGCGACCACAAATTTGGGTCACTTGCAACCAACAAGGCGCGTTTGAGTCACTTGCGACCACAAATTAGGGTCACTTGCGACCAACAAGGCGCGTTGAGTCACTTACGACCCTAAAATTACGGTCACTTGCGACCAATGGGGTCACTTGCGACCACAAATTACGGTCACTTGCGACCAACAACACGCGTTTGAGTCACTTACGACCCTAAAATTAGGGTCACTTGCGACCAATGGGGTCACTTGCAACCACAAATTAGGGTCACTTGCGACCAACAGGGCGCGTTTGAGTCACTTACGACCCTAAAATTAGGGTCACTTGCGACCAATGGGGTCACTTGCAACCACAAATTAGGGTCACTTGCGACCAACAAGGCGCGTTTGAGTCACTTACGACCCTAAAATTAGGGTCACTTGCGACCAATGGGGTCACTTGCGACCAGGCGGTATTGTCTTTTTTGCAAGTACTGCCCCTGCCACACCGGCACCCGTCCCGTAGATAGCTCTCCTGCCACAAAATCCAGCCTCCAGCCTCTTAGGTTTTGGGGTTTAGGGATTGGGGGTTTAGGGAGTAAGGGTTTAGGGGTTTTAGGGTTTAGGGGTTTTAGGATTTAAGGATTAAGGTTTTAGGGATTTTAGGGTTTGACGATTTTAGGGTTCAGGGTTTTAGGGCTTAGGGATGTTAGGGTTCAGGGGTTTCAGGGGTTAGGGGTTTAGGGTTAGGTACTCTAGGGTCTTGTTTTCCCCACGAGGGAAGCGCAAGATCCCCCAAGCCCTTGGAAACGGGCACAAGCGACCCCACACCCTTTTTTGGCGGTCACAAGCGACCCGATTTTGACGGTCACAAGCGACCACCCCACCCGCTCATACCATTTGCCCCTGCTCCAAACGGCGGTGACTGGCATTGCTTTGGAAAGAGTCTCCTGAACTTGTCACCCCAATTCGCCGCCACTGCGGACGCTGAGATCCTTTGTTGGCAGCCACGCGCCAGACGAATGATTGCGGATTGCACAGGCGGCGCATGCTCTGGTCAAGGCACTATGCACATATCACAACTCAACATGGCCTACCCCTCCTAACACTCTATCTGGCCAAGGTGCCCGTACTCCAGTGTGATCATTGCCGCGCCCAGCACGGCAAAAACCTCAAGAAACAAAATCAAAAAAACTTGAAGAACTCCTGAAGAACAAACTGCTTCAAACGCACGCCTCGCCAAGCAAATGGTACGCGAAGGCATAAACAGCTCCAGCTGCAGGAAGATGGGCAGAAAGTTCCATATAGCTCAGCCTAAGCATTGTGTCTGCTAAGAGTGGCTTCTTGAAAGTGTCTTAAGCCTCTCACGCCGAGAGGAAGCATCCGAAGCCACCAATGCACCAACAAAGAAGAACCGCAGGACCTGCCTGTCAATGAATGCCACCCTTGTCACATGCAGCACACCTGGATTGCAGACTTGCCTCCGTTCTTGCGACTTCACCAGTGATGGAGAAGACTCCGGTGCCAACCGTGCTGCCAACGCCAATGGCCTCCCAGCCGATCGGCACAACATACACTCGCACAGGACCTCAGACTCTCTCCAGACTGAGGTTGGAGCGAGCAAATCCCACGCTCCTAGCGATCTTGTCAATGTGCCATCTCCATGAGCATCACCCTGGCGTCACGTTTTCACTTACCCGTGCTTGAAATGCCAAGGACGGCCTCCAGCAACTGCGCGCGAGTTTTCGTCGCTGACAGTTGTAGCCACATCCACGCCGTGCATCTATGCAAGGTGATGCAAAGGTGAGGGATCTGAAGACTGTTGAGTGTTCCGAATATGTGCTTGAGTGTTGAGCAGTGTCTTCTACTATGAATGACTGAGGGTGAGAGTGCACCGCATTATTTCTACCTGCCACAGCGAGTTCGATTCCACTAAGCCACTAAGCTGATGTTTGCGCCTGTGGTTATTCTAACTGTTGTCTGACGCAGTCTGGAGTGCGGCCATGTGCTCTATCTTTCTCTCGCTCTCTCTCTCTCTCTCTCACTCTCTTCGCTGCCAGCACTTTTTCCGAGGCACTATGGTGGAATTCGGTCAAGCATAAAGAAGGCCACGTCCTCACCAGCCGGTAGCATGGCCAAAATGAGAAGGAACAGCGCAGCCCGGTGCTTCAATCAAGCAACCGACCTCAGACCCCTTGTAACATGTTCTCCCCCATTACACCCGTACCATGGCAAAAGGACAGGACATATGGATTTGTCACAATGTCATTCTAGTGTACAAAAACCGCAAGGATTGAGGACACGTATATGGCCATGGATGCACAAGTTTGTACAGATGCGAGAAGTTCTGAGAAGTGCTCGCCTCTTGGAGTTTGGGAGGCATTCCTTGCTGAAGACGTCGACTCAATTGCTAGTGTCACCGACGTCGTCGCAGCAATACAAAGCATGCCACATCCACGCATGCTCAACACCGGCATTGCTGGATGGATTGTGGACTGTGGACAGCTCAATGGAGCTCAAGGCATAAGCTTGAAACCCAACACATGAAGGAAAGCATGGGTTATCCAAATCCTGCCGAGAAAAAAAAAAGTATTTGTCGTGAAAGTATGGCATGGCCGCAAAATGAACACGGCTCAATGTGTTGGAACCCGTCCTCATGAGCTCATCAGCCCTTGTGCTTGCAATTGTTTTTTGCCTTCTCGAAGCTGGTCGTAGACCTTTGCAACGCACTGGGATCTGAACATATCTGAAACTTCAGGTAAAGACTTCTGGAAGGATTTTCGAGATGAATCCACCCCGAGCCTGTCGTGCAGACGGCCGCAGACGAGCATCAAAGTTGTAGCAGGCAGCAATCACAACCTCAACGCGTGACATCTGTTGACGAACTTCAACTAGCTGAGAGCGCAAAGACTAATTTCGGTGCATGTTCGGTCAACTGGTTTTAGGAAGAGACGGGCCAGCTTCAAGAGAAAGAACGGGCAAGGGAAGCACTGCAAATGCCGATCACCTTTCCAGCTCGGCAGTTGCCTGAAGCGGCTCCGCAACGAATGGTGGAATAGAAGGTGTCCTGATCTGATAAGCTCTTAGTGAGTCGCAAGTGCTCGCAAAGGTCCTTCTGTTCACCAACATCTCCCGTGTCAGCTCAGCTAGAGTGTTGATGCCCTCGTACCTGCATGTGGTAAGCTTGTCAGCAAAATGAAACATGCCATCCGCTGCTTTGGAGCACGGTAAGGGTCCGCCATTGATCTCCGTGAAAATGCAACCCATGGACCAAATGTCGACCTCTCAAGAATATCCAGTCAGACTATCACGCAACTGCAACGTTTGCAGAACACACTGCGCAACATGCTGCCCGTCCTTCTCCGTGATCTTGGACTTGCTATCAAACAACTGCGCACGCCAAGAGCTCAGGCAATCGCACAAACATGAGATGAGGCATACGCTGCTATCCGCAGTCGCACATTGTCGCGATGCAGTGGGTGTCTGTCTATGTGCTGCCTATGTGTGCGCGCTTTTCCCGGACACGCTGCCATGGGACTATTTTGGCTTTAAAATTATCTTTGCAGCGCTGCTCTTTGGCAGCGCTTCTTACCCAGAACGCATGGCCATGCAGCACGAGCGTTTCACCCCTGGCCATGCAAGATGAGCATTTCAGCCCGGCTGGGATTGTGAAGCTTTCTCTCAGCAGCCCGAGAGGATCCTTGGAGTCTGCACCTTATGAAGAAGGCAAGCAAGGCAGAACTTCTCTCTCTCCCTCTCTGTCCTACCTCTTGCAGGGCGACAAACACACAGACACACAGACACACAGACACACAGACACACAGACACACAGACACACAGACACACAGACACACAGACACACAGACACACAGACACACAGACACACAGACACACAGACACACAGACACACAGACACACAGACACACAGACACACAGACACACAGACACACAGACACACAGACACACAGACACACAGACACACAGACACACAGACACACAGACACACAGACACACAGACACACAGACACACACACACACACACACACCAGACACACAGACACACACACACACACACACACACACACACACACACACACACACACACACACACACACACACACACACACACACACACACACACACACACGCAAGTACACAAAAAATGGACAGGCAAAATAGCAACATGCTCTGAAGCCAGAACTTGAGCGCATGGAAACTGGGATGCCAAATACAAGGCAAAGGACATGGCAGTGGCCAGGGCACGGCTACGCTTGCATGGTGCGGGATCATGAGTCGTCGCTGCACTTTGCAATGCTATGCTGGGGGCTGGACAGCTGGCACGGCATAGAAGGCAACCTCCCAATTTGGACGGTGTGCATTGAAACAGGCATCCATCAATCAAAACGACGAGCCATGCAGTGTGATTGCAAAGTGCTTGTAAAGCCTTCGCAAGACGCCCCGCTGACCACCCTGCTTGGCCACCGCAGCAGTTACGACAGCAGTGGCTAAGTAAATGCCAGCCACCATCATTGCTGCAGTTTAAGATCCTACCATATCCTACCATAACGCAAAATGGACTGAAATACTGCAAAGCGGCAAGAAACGGCTTGTACCCCACTTTTAGGGGCCAGGGAGCATACTTTCTATGGGTAGGAAGTTTGCTCGACGTGTGACACACTGAGGAAACAGCACAAACTGTCTTACACACACATTGGCAAATTTTTTATGCAAAACATGCATGAACAACCAGCAAGATCTCCTTTGTGCTCACTGTGGCATTCATGTTTGGATAGCATCTTGTTGTAGTTCCTAATGTTCCTAGGATGCCTAGCGAAATCGCAAATTCAGTCTCGTGCAGAAAGGTTCCTGCCTCTCTCATTCGGGCAAGCTCTGCTTGCAGAATTTCTTCATGCAGGCTCCTAGCTGTCCTAGCTCTACTGCTGCTGCAACAACAAATGACGACTACTACCTCTACGCATCCAGCTGCGATTGCAATGAGAATTGAGCTAGGAAAACCACACCAGATTTGAGGAGGTTTGATAAAACAGCTCCGCAGCGTTTTCACTCCAAGCGATTCGACGCGGATCGAGATAACCCACCTTTACCTGTGGGATTTGCATTGGTATCCACAACATGACTTACCTCATGCTGTGGCCCAGTCAATTCGCCGATTTCCTCGGCGGCGCCTCGGGTTTACCCCCAATAAGCTCTGGATGCCCTGCACCAAGCAGAATGCGTCTCCCACCACAGAGCTACTGACTGGGGGCCTGGTCCCTCAGGCATTCCCCAAGCGCGGCGCGCTCTTCAAAGATCACGGACGTCCCAACGAGGGGGGCCGGTGATCTAGGGCGGGAAAGGTGGGGATCAAAAATAGCCAGTTTGGATCATCCTTGAGCCAAAAGGCCCAGCATGATCCAACACACTCCTTGCAGAAGGAAGCCTGTAAACCCAAGCCTTCCAACCTGATACAGGATTACATTCCCAAGGAGGTTTGATAAAACAGCTCCGCAGCATTTTCACTCCAAGCGATTCGATGCGGATCGAGATAGCCCACCTTTACCTGTGGGATTTGCATTGGTATCCACAACATGACGATTTCCTCGGCAGCTCTGGATGCCCTGCACCAAGCAGAATGCATCTCCCAAGGCACTTACTCTCTCAAAAACCTCCCAATGCACTCACAGAAACTCAGCAAAAGTAATCACCGCTCGGTACGGAAGCCTCAGTAGAGCTGGAGGGAAAAGACTGAAGGACAGCGTGAAGTGGTTGGCCCGGTACCACGGGTCATTGGGTCCCAACCGGCTGATCGCGTCAGCCCAATTGGATTTGGATGGGATGTACTCCCAAGCTCGTAGCGCAAAGAGCAAACACTGAATGTACGTCGCCATTTTGGCCAAGTCGGGGTTGTCGCTCCTGCCCCGAATCAAACACATGAGACTGGCGATGTTGTCAATGAACCATACTCCGCGTCGCCCGCGGAATTGGTCGGGCCTCGCCGTGAGGGCGTGCACCACCATAAACAGTTCCAACTCAGCGATCTTGCGGTCGCCCGGTCCCCACATGTCGTAGACCTGTGAGGGGATGATGGCCACAAAGGCCTCCCGGACCTGCACGTTGCCGTCCTGGAAGACCAGGCAGTACCCGCCGGATCCCTGTCGTGGGGCCTCCAAGGCAGCGTCCGAAGCAGCCACTACCCTCGGCACGTGCATGGGCATGACCATCAACTCCCTCCTCGGTCGCACACTGACGATGGCCTCCAACACGTCAAAGACCGACAGGAGGCTGGCACTGGCTTGGCTGGAGCCCCCACACTGGTGATCCTTCAAAGCCTGGATCCCAAAGAGGCCATGCTCCGGGAAGTTGACCATACGCATGAAGGTGAGCACCTTCTGTTCGAGTCGCTCTCGAACCCAAAAGCGCGCTGCAGTGACCGCCAACGGAAGGCCGAACAGGAGGGCGTGGTACACCTGAAAAGCCGGCCCCTGCCATATTACCACACCACCACACAGGCCAAAGCCTCCTGGCGAGACAGTGGCGATAGGCATTCGGCCAGTCGTCCCCGGCTCCTGTCCATTGCTCCTGAAGGCAGGCCGTGGCGGCTTGAACGTGGGGAGCAGGGTGGAGCGGTGCGCGCAAAACTAATTTGTTGGCATCTCTTGACGATGCGGATTGACCACCCCGTGCTGCGTCGTCAATCAGACGTTGTTTGCCAGAGGCCTGTGTGATGACACAGCGAGGTATGAGCCGGTAGGGGTCCCCTTTGGCACACCGTTTGAGCTGGCGAAGGTTCATCGGGGGGGGGGGGGGGCAAAACCCCTCTTTGTGATCCTTGGTGGACTGCTCAAGGACGAAAGCGTCGGTGGAACCCGGCCGCACGCTCGCGATGGTGACGGCACGCACGTCCGAATGGGCGATCGCCTCGACGGGCTGGTGCGGAAAGACTCCGTAATGAGGGGCGTAGCCCACCGCGGGGAGACCCTTGATGAAACCGTGAAAGAGGGCGAAGTCGCCCCACTGTATAAGGACGACAAAGAGTCCCAGCAAGCCCAAGTCACGCTTCGAGGTAACTCCTCGGATGGCCTCGGACTGGAAAGTCACGAGGTGCCAGACACCAGCGCCCACCTGCGTTTCAGCTCCTTGATGGCGCCAATAGACGCTCGCCGGCGCTCTTCCAAGTTGCGATTGTCCATCACCATGCTGGCCGCGTACCATAGGTCGTCATCCAAAGTGGGAAGAACTTCCAGCGCGGTTGCCGCGGTGGTCCAATGCAGGGATGATGAAAAATGGGAGTCTGGGTCCAGCCCGTATCCTACCAGCGGCGGAATGGAGGCCTTGTGGGTGTAGGCTCCGGCGCTGCCGTCTCCGGCTGGCGTGGGAAGAGGAGGGTGGTCCCAAAGGTCCGTCCCATGGCGCCAGTCCAGGTAGCACGTGAAGGGCGCCTGGTTCAAAAGGTCCTCCAACATGGGCCACTGGAAAGCTTGGAACCATAGAGCTTGCGAAAGGCCAGAATGACATCCTCCTGAGGGAACCAGAGAGACATCGACTTCGTGGCCTCACCGCCTTGAAGCAACGGGTTGGAGAGATCGTGCCCCGGGTCCAAAGACCAGTCGATGGGCAACACCCTCCATCCACAAAACAGGAAAGCCTTTGCCAGGGGCATGTTGGGACCGCACATCAGGTCGATCATCAGCAGGCCGTTTTCCCCCTTTTTTGCAGGGCACCCTCAAGACTTCTTGGCCGCCCTGCACTGTTTGGCTCCGTGGTTCTGCATCCCGCAGACCCTGTCGCCTCTGAGCGGCGCACCTGTGCTGTGCGTTGGGGCATGACTGCCCAGCCTTGCATTGCCCGTGCTGGAAAGCTTGACATAGCACTGTGCCATCTCTCATGGCTCGTGCCACCGCTCTCCCCGCGATAGCTAAGGATGCTACGATGATAGTTATCATCCGCGTCATCATCTTTCGCATCATCTGATCATCACCTAGCATCATCTAATATCTTATTATATATAGAAATCAAAAGGGACGTTAGGCATCCTTGGCAATGCAAAGGATGCGATGATGATAGTTACCAAGGAACAAGTAGTGATGCAGAGGATGTTGTGATGATAGTTGTCATGACGCGGATGATAACGATCATCACGCCCGTGCCACTATCATCATGGTTTCGTCATCTCTTTTCACGCAGCATTGGTGATGCAGAGGATGCTGCGATGATAGTTATCATCACAGCCGTTAGTGACGCTAAGGATGCTACGATGATAGTTATCATCCTCGTCATTTTTTGTCACCATCTGATCATCACCTAGCCCCATCTAATATCTTATTATATATAGAAATCAAAAGGGACGACAGACATCCTTGGCAATGCAAAGGATGCGATTGTGATAGTTA